TGCATACAGTTTATGCAATTTTTGACACCATATACGAAATTGCATATTGTAAACTAGAATTGCACTCAAATGCTATGAAATTACATACATGTATATTCAATTGCATATTGTAAAGTAAGAATTGCATACATGCGCTATCAAATTACATAGGTATATACAATTGCATGACACTGCAAAAAATAACTACAACTGCAAGTTCAGCAATGTTTTAGGCTTTCGTCCATGCTACAAAAGATGAAATACGTGATTATGCCCATAAACATCATTCAACATGAGATTATCAATTGGATTGGATATAAAGAGACCTTTCATATTTCCACATTATTTCCTAAACGTTCTTAATTATAGGATTATTGATTGGGCATTAATCATCTGTAAAGACTGGTATACACTATATTTACATGATTGTGAGGATAACTAGTCTCAAGTCATTGAGTGTAGAGACACTAAGATTAGTGTGTAGATGCTTAAAGAGATAAATACATTGACCAAGAAACTTTATTTACTAATCAAACAATGCCTTTTACACTACGAACGACTCTCGTGATGTAAATTGACTTATTCGTTAGGTAAATTACTCGACGAACGCAGTAGTTTACTTCGAGAATGTAAGGTGTTCGTTTGTTGAGTAAAAGTGGTCGTTCCTTGTGTAAATTGACCAAGAGACCTTATTTACCAATCCAACGATACATTTTACATTACGAACGACAACAAGTCGTTCGTGAGATAAATAGCCTTGTTCGTTAGGTAAATTACTCAACGAATGTGGTATTTTACCCTAAGAACTTAAGGTGTTCGTTTGTTGAGTAAAATTGGTCGTTCCTTGTGTAAATTGATCAAAATACCTTATTTAGCAATCCAACAATACCTTCTTCGCTAGCTTTTGTTCGTGTTGCGGGCTTTTGTTCTTGGTTCATTGCAATTCCTCACCATCATTTCCGTGGAAGGCAGGGCAAACCCTGGCCCAGGGCGACAACCCAGGACCCAATTATATAAGGGACACAACGTTTCCTCCTTAGACCATATGTGTTTGCGTTTGAATTTGATTTTAATGTTTTCACCAAAAGCAAGATCATATTTGCTTTGCATCTAAAATATTGCTCAGCCAAATACCAAACTCTCATAAGTCGCAGCCGTCATGTCCTTGGCCTCTCTCTGTATCAAAAGTTATAGGTAACTAAAGAATAGTTTTTAAATAATTTATTCAGATGAACAAGATATATCATTCTTATTATCTCTCTTTTTCTTTCTTCATCTATCATCATCTATTCTTCTCCCAATTTTCTCTCTTCTTCTTGCCCAAATCATCATCTAATCAATCGTTTTTATTTGATTGTGTTGATATAAATTAATAATTAGTTACATTAATTATATAGGGACACTAACTTAAATTTTCGCCTGGGGCCTTTTAAAACTCACGACCGGCTCTGGTTGAAGGTGAAAGCTGCAGAACAAAGTCATGCTTGTATTGGAGAAGCATCAAGCAATCATCATGCATGTGCCTGAAAAAGCGATAAAGAAAAACTGATGGACTTTATGAGGCGCACCTACATCGAAAGTGATATTCCACAACCCACGGCAAACGGACGAACGGACTTTCGGGCCCACCACAGTAAACTTAGCATCAATGAGAAAGGACGTGGGCCCAACTGTTGCATAATCCTGTTTGATGGAGCTTCCCAATGTTACAAAAAGAGAAGAGTATGGGAGAGAAACTCTCATATAACGGGAATAACACTTTTTGCTATTTCTAGCCAATAATGCAGTGGCATATAGGATAACTTTTACACGTATCATTGTGTTATTGGTCGGATATAGGAAAACAGTGTTATCCCCGTTATAGGTAAGTTTTTCTCGAAATTATGGAGCTCTAACACTGATTGGTCTTTCAGCCCATGTGCTGTACCCTCTAGGTTGTAAATAAATACCATGAGTGGATACAAGTAATATTTGGGAAAACACGATTTATTCTTAATTACTTAAGTTATAAAATTTTTGGACCCAGACAGTCATAGAAGCAAGAGGTTACTTGAGCTACAAATTCTTTGGATTGAGACCGCAATCTTACTAGAGTAGCATATATTTAAGGAAAATACTAGGGAGACCAACTTGGGATACCAACTTGTGTATCAACTCTCTAATAGAGCGTGGGACCCATTGTATTGGTGGGCTCCACCTCTATTAGAGAGTTGGTACACAAGTTGGTATCCCAAGTTGATCTC